TATAATCACTTGTTGTGTGACCCATAGGGCCTTATATATTAAACACTAATCAAATTAAGGTCTTAGCGAATCCCTAGACGATTCTCCAGACTAACTTAATATATAAGGACGTTTGCGAGGACTATACAAACTCCCTGTAATATAGAGCTCATAGTGATACGGTCCTTTCATTCAGCGAACATTCAACTAAGTCTAGAACATGATATAGTGTCTATCCCAATAACTCAGTCTCTGTCTCTCAATCTTTCTAGATGATCCATAACGATCATATTCGATATCCAAAACGAATATATCTTTGCATTGGCCAATGACTTTATGATCCATCTAGATATGAGAAGTAGAATGTTCTCTCTTAATCTATTATGAGGAATGAATCATTTCTTGGCTCAACTACTACTCCATGTGCTTCGTGATGCACCCAACACATGCCGTATCTACCCCGATTGGAGTGCAAGCGTTGGTCATGGTCAAAGTACATCACTCCGCACATGTAGTATGTATTGACCTCAAGTCGGAGGACTATTACACTACTCTATAGGCCGATAATCCCATAGACACATGAATAGAACTTATCAAATGGTTTCTCGGTGGGTATGCCAATATTCTCTAAAATATCTATGTGACCATCATGAATTACAGGAACTCATAGTCGTGAGATCAACTATACTTTCTAAAAGTATGATGCAGTCCACATACCAATCTTATCGTATATCATCAATATCCCATTCTTGATGATCATTGATTGGGGCTATTTTAGGACCTTATGTTATATCATATAAGCTCCCACTTACTTATTGACAACATAAATCCAAGGGAACACAATTATGAATAAAACATTGACAATCGAAAACAATCATTCATAAAGTGTAATACCGTGTATATATCAAATATAAAAACTAAATGTGATCAAGTACATATGTCTTTAAAGAAATGATTGTCGCTAGGACATATATACTAACAGTGGGGTGGGGCGGGTATGGGGATGGGAGAATTATTTCCTCCCCGCTTAAATATGGGGCGGGTGATAGTTATGCACCCCGCACCGTGCCCGCCCCATCCCCGTATATATACACATAATACTATTAACAATAATAGTACTAATAATTATAAGGGGTTTTTACAAAAATATTACTAAAATAAAATTTATTTTACACAAATATGATTATTAGTTACTACTACCCCCCTTCTCATTCGAAGGTTCTCGTCCACTATTTACATGGTCAAATTAAATCATTCTTAATCTTTTGCTTTATATATCAATTTTTTATCAAATTTACATTTTTTTATCAGGCTTTGTAGCGGTTTTAATGTAGTTTCTGAATATGTAAATTTTATTTACTAAAAATAATTAGAGTATCAACAAAGATTAAGTTGTTTTATCGTCAGTCAAGCATCGTAACCCGTAACGGTAACATCTCTATGAGACGGAGGGAGTAGAATGTTGTGTCATAGTAACCTAAGTTTAAAAATTGTAAGTTACTGTAATTTCATTACTACTTTAGTCACTAGTCACATTTTTGTAAACAATCTTCATTTTAGTCATAAATATGTAACTACTAATACGAAGTAATTACAATAGCATGGTGGCCCGGAGGGTTTAGTTGTTTCCTATCTATTGAGTTGTGCCTAATGGGTCTATCTAATTCTTGTTTAATAACCCAACTATCATGTAAAATTGGTTATCAAAATCATACAAAGTAAAATGAATTTGGGAAAGATAAAGTGATATTAGCTTAAACGCCTCAGACACAATGTAAATGTTTTCTTCTTTTACTATTATAGTGCATTAATTCTTTTTTTATGAATGTCATCTTTATGATTGTAGTTAGGGCTTTTAAAAATCTGGTGACCATAGATCGTTCTAGATGATGTCAAATGAACATGGTTGATTGAATGAAGGGCTCAAGAAAATCTTATAGAGCTAATCAATGCTAATAAAGTGTTTGATAAAATGACTAAATCCAAACGTGTATAATGTGTTCTAGATTTGAAATGAGATGTAAGATTACATTGACACTTAAAAATTAAAAAGTTTTTTGGCTTCATACTAGAGGTGTTGTTTGATTTTTGAAAAACTGTCTCGATCTGAAATTGTGTTAATTGTTTACGAATATTTCCCCCGTTGGATATCTGTGGGGTTAGCGGGTCGGGGCGGGGGATGGAGCATGTCAAATAGTAGTGGGGGATGGGGCGGACGTGGGGGCGATTTTTTAGACACGGGGCGGGGATGGGGGAGTGAACCCCCGCCCCATTGCCATCCCTATTTGCAGCTTACTCTAATGCCACCTCATTCACGTCAAAAACGACTCGAATTCATATACCTGATTTAGATGATCTTGAATGAAATTGAATGCCCAAAGCAAGAAATTGCATATATATATTTTATCTTTGAATAGAATGGACAAAAGATGTTTTTACATTAGTCTGGTCTGGTCTTATTTGACCGGTCTGAATTAATTTGGTAAATGTCTAGTCTAGTTTGATCCAAGACTAAAATAAGTTCAAATAAAAACATCCAAAGTCCGAATGGGTAAGGTTTAGTGCAACATAGTGTTGGACCGGTACTGGATCGACCGGCCCGTGAACCGGACCGGCTCGCTACTGTGCGGTAACCGGTTCCGGGCCTATGACCAGCCCGGGGAGTTAGGGCGGGGCGGTTCCGGGCTGCCCTTCCTTTGGAACCGGCCTGGTCGGGTCGGGCCCGGTTCAGGCCTTTTTTTAATTTTTTTGTTTTTCCATTTTTTTTTTGTTTTCCCTAGATGGGCTGGGTGTTTTGGGGGGGTTGGGGGTTAAGTAGAAAAGCCAAAAAAAACAAAAAAAAAAAAAAGAAAAAGACCCGGCCCGGAACCGGCCCGGTACCGGTAGACTCCCGGGCCGGTCCTGAGCTTTACCCAAAATCTTCCAAGCCCGGCCGGGCCTAGGCCCCAACTGGAACCGGACTCGGCCTGGTCCATGCATAGTGCAACATTTGATTGGAAAATGAAATTCCTCAAACAATTAGTTACACAACCTTCTACTTGACCAAGCAGAACACCCTATTTTCCAAATTTATCCGATTAAAGTTATTTGTGATGCCTACAAGTAGGGATGGATCGGGCCCGGTTCGACTGGCCCGTGAACCGGCCCGACACTGTTTAGTATCGAACCGGACCGCCGACCGGGATCGGTACCAATCTATGAGGCCCGAACCAGGGGTGGGGGTGGGGCTACGGGTTGGGGAATTGGTAGACCGGCCCGTCTGGTCCGGGACCGGTCTAGGCCGGTAACGGCTAGTTTTTTGTTTTTTATTTTTAAATAGTGCCGCTCCTATCAATCTTTAAAGTGCCAAATGGCTCTATAGCCATTGGAGGGGGGGTCTGGGTGATTTGGGGGTGGGGGTGGGGTACAAAAAATCTATATATACTCCTATTTTCTAAACATTTTTCTACACCTATTGTCCAATTCTTCCTACTCTCTAATACCCTCTAATCATCTTCATATTCATCTTTTCCAATTCTCTCTACACCTAATTAATATATATCATATCTATTTAGTTATACAATTATTATATCTACTAAGAATTTATTATCTACATATAAATACATAAATTATACTCCCTCCGTCCCATTTAAACGTTCCCACATGGTTTACGACATTTGACTGACCATAAAGTTAACTGATCCCTGTCATTAGTGGAATTATTTTTAGTAAATAAAATTTACATATTCAGAAACTACATTAAAACCACTACAAAGTCTGATCAAGAAAATTTAAATTTGATAAAAGTTGAATATATAAAGTAAAAGATTAAGAACAATGCACGTTGACCGGAGAATAGTGGACAAGAATCTTTATTATCTACTTAATATCTACCTATTATATGCTTGTTATTTACTTATATTTACATATTACATCTAATTAATATATTAAGTATATATATTAAAGTATTATTTAGGATTGTTTAATATTTATTACATTTTAAGATGGAACACGGTAGACATTCTGTAAATATGGGTAACCTCCAACGCAACTGAAAGAAGGAAATTGAGAGGAATTATCCTACTTCACGCAAAGGTAAAGGACATATCGAGTCTTCTTCTCAAGCCGAGATGATTTTGACACAAATTATGACCGGAGAGATGCGATTTACGAGGAAACACCCAAAGAGGTACAAGGTCATCAGCAAACCCCCGACGAGGAAACACCCAACGAGGACGAAAACGATAAGAAAGGTCAATCTTTCTTTATGAAATACAATTACACCGAATGAAAGGAAACAACAACTCGACAAGCATAATGTGGTGGGTAACTTGCTACCATTGTAAAAAAAAATTGCTTGGGAATTTCACATGGATACAAAGGCGCGAATATACATTTGAAGGCAAACCACTCCGAGTATGCAAAATTAAGAGCCAAGCTGCCAAGGCCTAAGGGGACCCGAAGTATTTTTCCCTCTTTTTTAAAACATGCTATTAACTACTCCCTCCGTCCCTAATCTTTCTCCCTTTTGGGCTGGGCACATTTATTAAAATAGTGGGATTTGTGTGGTGGAGAGTTGTGCAGAGAAGAGAGAAATGTGTAAGAATGATTGTGAACCACAAATTTTTTACTAAAAGGGGGAAGAGGAGATAATTTTGGGACGGACGAAAAAGGAAAGTTTGAAGATAATTTAGGGACGGAGGGAGTATATTATGAATTGTACTTCATATTTCAATATATATGCATTGAATTTTTTTTGTGGCCCTTGTGAATTTTTAAATTTTTCGCAATTTTCAATTGTAGTTCATATTTCAAAAAAATATACTTTAACCTTTTATTGTCTAGCACTTCTTGGATCGATTTTAAACAAAAAAAAAGGCTTGACCCATCCCAACCAGAGACCCGGGCGGGTAGACCGGACCAGACCCGGTGGAATCCCGGGATTTAGGTCCAAAGATTTAGTACTGGCCAGACCGGTACCAGGTCCTGGCCCTGGCCCGGTCCATCCCTACCTACAAGTATCATCCTCCACATCATTGCTGTTATGGGGTTAATACCCTTGGTCAAAGATGTTTCATTTATTGAAGCTATAAAGCAGGAGTCTAATGAGTACAGTCTGAGTTCAATACCCAGAAAAGAAACCATTCTGTTAAAGTTCAAGTACATCACAAGAATTCAGAAACACACACAAAGCAAATAACTTACAACAAAAGAAACTAATACGGGTATCTGCGCATGCTGGTGGAAGACCGGTACTCAGGCCGCAACCCGCCCTGATGGTAGTCAGGTAATGCTCTTGAACTAGTAGTAACACGGTGGTAATCTGGACGGGTCTCCACTGATCGGCGTGAAGGATAGTACTCAACTGGCATATCTCTTGGGGGAGCTTCTCTGTAAACTGATGGTGCATGGTATGAAACACGCGGAGCATAATCAGCAGCTAGCTCACGGTGGTAGGCTATGTTGTCATCAAGCCTATAAGAAGAATTGCTATGATGCTCCAGTTTGGGCTCTAGATCATAACGACGACGGTCCATCAACCTGTCATCGTGTCTATAAGAATCACTACCACGCATCACTAATGGGCCTCTTCTGTAAGGATCAGTTTCTAAAACCCTATCATAGACATACGGTTGACCAGAGGAAAGTGGGTGTAAAGGTAAGTGGGATCCACGAACCACCGGAGCACGAGAAAAGGGATGAGTCTGATCCATATCGTAGTGACGTGGATGATGATCACGGTATGCATTCTCATTCACTGGTGACCGTCTCCTGTTTCGGTCAACCCGGATTTTTTTAATGACCCGGTCCCGCACTATGCCACCACTTCGACTTTCCACTTTGGGACGTGTGAGCCTGTCAACCACTGGTTTCCTAGTTCTGTCCCTATCAATGGATCTAATGCTCTCTTTCCTGAGGCGTCTTGGCTTCTTAGAATTGGAACTTTGACGGTTAGCCGTAAAAAGATTGCACAAGTCCTTGACCTGTGTTAAATGAACCACATTAATGGATAATACATAATATATCCACATGAGAATATCAAAGCAATAGTTATCATAGAACTAGCTTATATGCTTTACCTGTTCAGTGGTCAATTCACAACGAAACTTTGTCTTCGTGTAATAGTTCTTCTTTATTACACTCTTAAACTTCTCCTCAGCCAATGGATTGCAATCCTCCAGAACAGTAAATCTAACCTGAGTATGTACCAGGGTAGCAATAGCACACGTGCACATCACATATTATTCAGCATTTGCAGAATTGCAACAACAACAACAACATCCAAGCCTTAGTCCCAAAAGATATTGGGGTCGGCTAACATGAATCGATACATGATATCAACACCAAAAGGAAAAGAAAGATAAAAAAGATAAAAAAGATAAACTGTGATAAAAAGATAATATAAAAAGAGATGAATATACATAAAAATGATAAAATACAAAGGATACAAATAATGCTTATATATATAAGGATTGCAGTTGAAAAATAATCATAGACTATGAAAGTATAAAATCCCTATACTCTACCATTGTGAGACCAAAATCAACTTTATGTAATGCAATGCAAGGCTTTACATTGAATACAATTAATCATGCACAATTATTTCATCATATACAAGCACATAATTCAGGCATATATTGATACTGATATTTCCCATCTCAAAAGATGAAAAGATTAATCCCATATAAGTGATGCTGCCAATATTATTGAAGTGATGCTGCCAATATTATTGAAGTGATGCTGCCAATATTATTGAAGTGATGCTGCCAATATTATTGAAGTGATGCTGCCAATATTATTGACAGCCTTTGTGAACAAATCCTTTGAATCTAACAGAAAAATCAGATATGTACTTACCTAGCGAGTGCAATGCTGTGTTCTAAACTGCCAATCGGAAAATTTGAACATCACAGAATATAGATAACCTTGTGGCACCAAAGCTGTGAACATATACTAACCTGAGATGGGAACTGAGACTTGAAAGCCTTGGGTTCAATATTAAACCCACCAGGAGCTGCAGCTTTATAAATCCCATATAACAGTTTCAAATCAACGTCGTATAAAAATAGCCTCATCCCTTTGTAAACGTTTTCCACAACTTCTCTTTTGTTGGAAGGCAAACCCAGAATTTTGTATTGATAGCAATCCTTCTTTGTTTCTGAGTTGCACATAAAGATCAACCCCATTCCCTCAACCTTCCCTTTTGACTTCTTCTTGCTCGATGACTCTGGCAAATCTTTGGAACCCAACAAAGATTTACCTTCAGAGACTCCTTTCTTTGAGTCACCTTCACCATTAGAAACTTTCTGCCCTTCGAGTTCAGAGGCAACAACATTTTCCAACACTTTTCCAACTACCTTCCCCCTTTTCCTCCTTTTTGTTTTCTGAGACTTCTTGATAAGACTCTGCTTCCCATTTTCTTCTACCTTATTTTCTTCTACCTTATTTTCTTCAGTATTTTCATCAGCCTTCTCTTGCTCCATTTTATCTCCATTTTCTGCAGCATCATCATCATTAGAGTGAACTTTATCCTTTTTAACTTTAAATGCAAGTTTATTGAAGGGGCCTTTAGCCCCCTTCTTCCCTCGCTTTCTTTTTTTTGACTTCATCTTCTGAGCAGACGTTTTTTCAACTGTCTCCTTAATGGTTTCTTCATTAGCCAGTTCACCTTGTCCTGAAAGGCATCCTTCCTTTAATAGGTCATCCTGAGTAGTTTTGTTGCTACCTTGTACTCCTTCATTGTTCCCTACCACACTTGTTTCATTTCTTTCTCCATTTGTGATATCTTCTCCAACACTTGCTACCATTTTAGCTACATCCTCCTCACCATTAACTACTTCCTTCAGAACATGTTCTACATCATTTACTGCAAGTTCAGATATGTTTTCTCCATTTAATGCTTCTGTTATATGTTCTGTAGTGATATTAGGCTCACTAACAGTTTCCTCTAGGAACGTCTCAATTTGATCTCCAATAGTTGAAACTGCTTCCATTTCAGCTGAATTTTCTTCAGCTTTGATAGAGGAGATAGTTATGCTTGCCTGACTTATTGTTCCCACCACCGCATCCTGCTCCTCATTAGCTTCATCAGTTAAAACCACTTCAGATTCTTCTACATCCATAGTAATTGGAGTGGATTCTCTTGTTTCCACACAATCAGCTACAGGAGGAGGGCCACCATCATCTTCTGATACAAGTCTGGATGTTGATACACTGGCTTTTCTTTTCCCACGTGCCATCAGTAATCACTGTAGTTTCGGAACAAGGTTATTACTCATTCTCTACAAATATCGATGCATCTTGATGCAGCAAGGTTTAATTAGAGGCACATGGGGACACATCAGGATCACTGATGCAGAATACTGAGGTAAACAAGAAAATGGTGTGTTGTGCACAAACTTTTTAAAACTGAAAAGATGACCAAAATGAATTTTTATTCAATTTAGTCGATCTTAACTGCAAATCAAATAGTTGCAAAATCAACACACACAAAACTAAAACATTCAAATTGTTCTTGATCAGCACACGGCAATGTTTAAATTGTTTCAACCTCTCCCTCTTAATCATACGATTCAGATTTGACTTCCTTCAAAGTCATCCAAATATTAATATGTGCATCACTGTCATCACGGATCTTCGAGGTTTGCTCAAGATTTTGATATTTTCATGCAGGTCTTTACTTTACAAACATCACCTGAAATTACCTTTACCCACATCAAAAGATACCATCTTTTGAGCACACCAGTCAATGTAACACAGACTGCATGGAAAGAGTGGCACGTGTGGGCTATTCTCAAAATTTGAAATAAAAGAACTAACCACGGACATCAGCAAGTTGATGCGTAAACACTAATATAAAACCGAAAAAAACAAGATTCCATCCCTGGCTCACTACATATACAGTTATAACTCCAAAAAAATCAAGGACTACAGCTGGTTACTTGCTGAAGTCTATGGGAACTCCAGACACTTATGAAGCAGTAGAAGTCTGAAACCATACCAGTGGTAAACAAGTCAATGAATCTTTTTGCAGTGAAAACAGCAAATGATTGTTTAAAGAATTGTCGCGTGAAAGAAAGAAGAAATATTAATGAAAGGTCAAAGTTGGGTTGACTAAGATGATTAGAAAATGTATGTCTTCGCAAATCATAGATAACCAAATTTGACTCCTAGTTACTGCTCAATGTCGCAAGTCAAGAATCATTAACAGCCTGTTTGTTAAGAAGGAAGTCTATTTCTTTTCTAGCCCAATTCTCAGTTGAATGAATCTCCAAATTTGTTAGGAATTAGAATGAGAATAAGGATTCCAAAAGAATGCTTATTCCTTGAAATCAAAGAATACTACATTCTAGCAGCCCTCATGTATTTTCTTTTTCTTTTCATTTGGAGAGAAAAAGAAACTTCGATTGACCAAAATATCCTACAAATGCTTCAGCTGTACAACTTAATTTAAACACCGCTCTTATTCTTTCCGTTGGAACTGAAGATCTATTCCTCTATATAGATTTCTGCGCACCAAACGAGCTATAAGTGAATTTCATAAACATATCCAAATGTTGTTGATCAAGTCTGATACAGCTGTAGATTGATTGATTCAACCAATTCAATAACAGCCGTTGTGCACATACCATGGAACACTAAGTTTGATGGCATAAGACCGAAACTCGGATGAAACCCACGAAAATTAAAAAAAGATCTCCATCACTATGCTTCAATTCCGACACCATGGTGAGCATTGACATTTTAGGCCAGACATATCAACGTTGACCAATCCAAATCAACATGTCTATATATATAAGTTGGATCGCCATTCGCCAGGGATAACTGTTTCACTTGACAAAGATGACGTCACTATGACATCATCATGATGTTATCACGGCGTGATCTGCAGAATTTTGGCTCTCCTTGGTATTCAGGCAACACTGCCGGCGTATTGGTTGCTCATTAAATTACAGGTTATTACAGATCCTTAATTTAGTAAATTATTCATCGTTTAACTGAAATAACAGATTAAGAATGAACCTCAAGAACACCCTCTAAGCTTGATCTCTTCACTACTGATCAGATATACAAAGATATGTACGAACAAACAAAACAAGATGCGATAAAATTAGAAGACAATTAGTGTTAATCGACTAACCTCGGGATACTAGACGGACGGCGCGGTGTTGATTGCGTCCGACCTAAGGGGAAGAGGAGCAATTTGGCTTACGACAGTCCGAGATCTAGACAGAGATGGTAGATCGGATGAATTGGTAAAGGATCAGCTAGGTTATTCCCGAGCTTGGGGGCTTGGGCAAGTGATTTTCTCATTGGACCGGATCAAACACTTTGGGCCAATAACTTCATTTAATTTGGCAGATTTTAAATTGTCTTTTACTAGTAAAAAATTGTCAACTTTACTTTTTAAATTATCCCACTAACTTTGACATTTTCTCATTCATTTACAAAATTTAGGATTCTTCTGAATTTAAAAATTTTAATCACATAGTTTTTATTTTATTATTTCTCGTGACAATCAAATTTGACCTAACTTTAAGGATTGGAAGGAGTCTCTTTTAGTACCCATTAATTGGTAACTTTGAAATCGGTTAAATGGATTGAATCTATTGAAACTCATGAAGTTTTCGTTGGACCAACCAAGTTCACTAATTTGCTAATTACAGAAAAATTATACTATGCAATTGAATTTTTTAATGCTAAATAAAGATTTTTTATGAAAATAGTTATAATGAACTTTTATAGTAATTTCAGTCAAATCTTTTTTTGAAAGACAATTTCAGTCAATTCAATCACAAAACTGACTTAAAATTCACTTATGTTGATTATTACCCCCCCCCCCCCCCCCCCCCTCGTCTCATAAAATTAGGCCAAATTTCCTTTCTTTTAGTCGCTCGAAAAACTTTATCTTTCCATTTAAATCATTTTTACACTCATTTGAATTCAATAAATGTTACTACCTCCACCCCGGTATACTTTGCCAAGTGCAAAGTAGGTGAAAATAAGAATAGTAAAAATTATATGGTTGATATTTATGCAAAGGAGAGAGAAATATGCAGAACGACAAATTAGTTACTATAATATGAAAGTGGCAAAGTTTTTTGGGACAACCAAAAAGGAAAAGTTGCAAAGACCAATGGGACGGAGGGAGTATGTTTTTGTTTTACTTGTTATCTATTTAGTTGCGATCGCTTATTATTATTTATAGTGATAATACATGTTGATGATTTAAGTATTCCTCAAATTTAAGAATTGAGACTTGAATTTCTCAAATGATGAGCATGACTTAGAATTGTCTTGTGATACATCATATATACATGGAAGAGAGCATGTGAGTATAAGTGGTTTGTAACCGCCGTGATCTAAACAATTTGAAATCCAGTTAAGTTTTTCTTGTTGGTTTATTTTTGTTTTGATGAATATTGTGCAATTTAAATTTTCACCAATCTATCATGAATCACATGATCAAGTGCGGGAATGTTAGAATATATTACATATATTAGTTAATAATTAGTATTATAATATTGGTCATGTAATTATTGGAGTTTTATATTATTACTGGTAATAGAGTTTATATACTCATAAACTTTTGATTAGTTTAATGATAAGTTAAATATGTGTTTAAGTGTGTTTAGGACTAGGATTCCCCAACCATCTCCTCTGTCTCTATATATGTATGCATATTCCAAATTGAATATCAACATAATATAATTGAGAAATCTTTATATGTCAAGAATCTCCTAAAGAAATATATCAGAGAGGATACAAAGATTTATTATTATTCATTGATTTTTATGGATCCAGATATTTCTAAAAGTCGGTCTATCTTAACCTATCTTATAAAGGACACCTATTTTTATTAAATGCTTAGACATGTGCTAAATCCTTATAGAACTTTGTTTTCTCTACATGTACATTGTGCTACTATTGTTGTACGCTAAGAACTGTGCAGATGAAGACGTTTACCGCTCGTTAATTGATTAACGCCGTCTAAATCCCTGCGTTAAGGAAGTTGGAGCATCAGATCCTTTCAACCTTTAGATTAGAAATCCTTTGCAAATCCCTGCGTCTAAATCCGTGCGTTACTTTGCTTTCTCTACATGAAGAACTGTTTTCCAAATCGTTTTGCCTGCTTCTTTTTTTAGATTAGAAATTTAGAATCGTTTGTGAAGCTAAACAGCCATCGTCTTCAACCTGCGTTACGGAAGTTGGAGCATGAAAAATAAATTCCTATATTCAATGAAATTTCAGTTTCGGATGATTTCCGTCTCTTCCTCCGGTGCTTCTATAAATGGAGGTTTGCTTAGGTTTGTCGTCTTTTTCACGCGGATTGATCAACACTTCGGTGAGTTTCCATCCCCCTCCAATAGTTGATGTTTATTGATCATTACCATTGATATATGAGTATTACCATCGCATCTCTTTGCCTGTTTTCAACTTTTCAGTTTAATTTTGTATTCATGTATGCCCCTCCATAGGACAGGAAGTCTTAACTATCAACTTAATCTTTGGATTGGCTTCAATATCTTTTATTTATTTTTTGGACTACTCAAGTACTTTTTGTAACCTAAGTTTGTAACTAAAATGCACAGCCGACCTGTGTCTACCTGTCCCTGGACACGATTGGATTCACCAAGGGTCCCTTTAGGAATGGTTTATTTTTTTGCCCTTTAGGATTGGTCTCTGTTCCGAATTCTAATAGATTCTTTTCCCTATGCATGTTTAGTATAGTCAATTCATTGAGCTTATCATCTTGGCACATGGGATATATTAGTAACAGAAGCAGATTATATGTGGGGGCTGACTGCTTTGTAGAAAATTTTAAGAGTTCTGACGTGGTAAATGCGTTAAAATTTCTCACTCTCTGGTATACAATATGGCAGAGTAGAGTGGCAGACTGGTTTGGTGCTAAACCTTTTCCATTTTACTCCTCTAATCTGCCTGGATTGTTGAAGGCTGTATTAGAATTTAGGACTGCACCAAAATGAATTGAATACAAAACTTAAAAGTAATAGTTCAAATCGGGATGATGTAAGAGTAATCTACTTGTTGCTAAATGTTCCCACTATTGTAAAGAATTTGAAATAATGAAAATAAGAGTTGTTTGGTGACTTTTTTTGGCTTATATGTCTTATCAGTCAAATTATATTTTGGTTGATTCTGTTGAATTTACGAAATTCTGGTTGAAGCGGCTGAATTGGTCAAATCTACTGAATTATGAAAAAAATTACATTATACTACCTCCGTCTCGAAATATGCATAATAGCGATATCGATGTGATATTCTGAATTATGATGTCAACTTAAGTCTGTGCACAAAGATTGAGTGATTATGTTCTCGTTTTGAAAATTGTTTTGAGATCACTTTGTATCAAATGTGGTTATGTTTAAATGAGTTTTGACTTTTGATTCATGCCTAATACGAGTATACAATTTTGTTCAAAAGAATAACACTTAATCTCACAGATAACCAAGACCTAATGTATCCTACAGTTAGAGCGTTTCTGCTAAATGAATTAATTGAAGCCTAATATGCTATACTAGAATTCTGTCATAATATATACACATCTAGAATAAGTGGGTCAGCTACATAAACATATAGAAAATATCCCGAGTTCATTTACCAATATCTTCATTTCCCTCTCTTTTCTGCCACTCACCATAGGTTCAGGAAATTGTCTCGCCCTAATATTTTTACACCCTCAAATCATGGCATTTTCGTTCCAGAATTTCAAGTTTTCTCTGTCAATTCTACCCACTGTAATGCAAAAAATGGTATTGGTTTTCAAGCTAACTGAACATTTGCTTCCTGCATAGTATGAAATGCATTGGAGGCAATAAACATTCAGATTTTGCTAAATTACATTTTGATTTAGATCCCGGCATGCACTGATCTCATTTTCCTTTTAACCTTTTCACAGCAACTTATCATTTTGTCTTTTGTCTTAATGAATGCAGCAATTTTGCTTAGTATTGAAGGGAAGCGACTTGTTTCTTTGAAATCAGCTTTAGAAACGTATCTCTTGAGGTAAGCATTTACATTCCCATTTCGCTTTTCGATCTTCATTTGTCTAGACCATATTACATGCATGAATCTATGTTTATAGAGTCTGTGAACTTTTACTCCATAATTATCTGTGTATCTATCTATATTGGAATATCGGTTATCACCTTAAATGTGGTAATCATATCATATAACTTTGACTAATGGACACAACATTCCATCATACTAAAAATTGAATGATTATAGCATGTGAATCACTAAAATTATATTACAATTTTTTAAAATTTCTTTTCAAACTGCCTTCATATTATCTAAATTATTGTTAAGCATATCACATTCGCGCAACGCGCGATCAATTTACTAGTATATATATATATATATATGATGTCTATCTTTGAATTTAGTTTTACTATCTCATGCATCCAGGCTAACATCAATTACTAGTCACACCATGCATTGCACGCTACATAAAAATCAATTATATACACATTTAACGTCTTATCTATCTTTCTTGTTAGTTATATGTACAGTTATATATTTCAATTGCTATATTAATTAAGGTGGTGTATATTCACATGAATGAATATATATATACATATTACATATATACACATCCTCATATCAGCTGCAAAGTTGTGTGCACAATTTTTGAATGTCTGATGCAGTGTTGTTGGCGCTTGACAAATAATAATTACTGCTTTTGTTGTCCAGCATGCATGTCAAGTTCAACTGGTCTCCGATTTGGTTTGACTGTAATTAATTCAGAAGGAAAAAAATATATTTACATAATCAGATTACTTAATTATAACATGTTCCATAGTATAAATTCACGCATTCAGCTGACTAATATCTATTAAATAAATTCCCTTCTCTCGCATAAATAAGTTCATATTTTGTTTTTTTAGTCAAACTTTAATTTATTAACTTTGACAAATAATTATTTAAAAATCACATCACTTTATAACACAAAAAAGTTTCAACTACTTTAGTTTAAAATAAAAATGGATTCATTTCATCCATGAACCAAAAGTTAGATTAGTTATTAATTACGATCTTGAATGATTAAAATGTAATGTAGGGTTCAAATGATTAAAACTAGGAACTTTATCAATTTTGGGTCTGGAAGAGACCTGAAATATAAAGTGTATCGATATAGAACTCGATGATTTAAAACTATCAATCAAAGATCTAAAATATCATAAATTTTAATTTATTTAATTTTTATTAATTCATTGCTAGTCTTTGAAGTTTTTTATTCATAAAAGTTCATTGCTTTAATAAGATTAAATAATATTTAAAATTTCAAAATAAAAATTATTAGGATCCAATGTACTTTAAGATTTAAATTGATAGTTTTTAATCACTCAGAATCTGTATCGACACGTTTCATCTTTCAGCCCCCTTAGCTTATCGATAGAAAACCTATCTTTCAAGTCCTCGGTTGATAAAATTGCATGAAACCATCGATCTAAGACTTAAAATATCATGAATGTTGTTTTGTTTATTTTACTCAATTTTTATAATATTTCATCATTATAAAATTTAGTAGACTTTCAGAATGAAAAATTGATAAAATATTAGTAGTACAATATAAATAAGAAATTCCAAGGAATTTGTATCTACGTTTTTTATATCGTTGTTTGATACATAGTTTATAATCATTCGGGATTCCAGGCTCTAAACTACACTAATTTATTACATTTTCAATCATCGATTGATGGTTAATATATCTTTTGAGTACTGAATTGAAAGTTCTTATATATATTTCTATTAAAATGTTACTCCATAATTTCTTTTACGTAGTAGATTTAATAACTCTAGTCTTATGTATTACCTGATTTACCGGTCAAATGTCACCTTTGAAAACCATGGAATTGAAATTGTGAATTTAATTATGGGAGAGTAGTAGAAATTGACATGTTACTTACCGAGCAACGTGCATCACAAGTCCATATAGGGGTTGGAAAACAACTCAAATAATGACACCAAGAACAATGGTCATTACCATCCACGCCTTGGAGTAGCATTACCATACCAACCGTCAACCTGATGATAAATGAAATGATATATTATGGGTCACTTTTGCCACTTATGGTCCCCTGAATATTGTGTAAGTGACATTTTTGGTATTTGACTTTTAATTTTTTCATTTTTAGCTCTCGGCTATTGTGTAAGACACACTTTTAGTCATCGGCTTAATTTCAAGTTTTCCACATTTAGTCCTTGAGTATTATCAAATTGACACTTTTAGTCCTTTCACTATAACTTTGAGAACATAAGTGTAGGACTAAAAATGTAACTATCATAATAGTTGAATGACCAAAAGTGTCACTTTTATGGATGTCGAAAGACTAAATATGAAAATTTTCAAAGACGGGTACCAAAAGTGTCTTTCGAACAATGTTGTAGGACTAAAAGTGAAAAATTCAAAGTCGAGCACCAAAAGTGTCACTCACACAATAGTTAGAGAACTAAAAGTTGAAAAATATCATAATTAGCATAAGTAATTGGAAGATCGATTAGGAGTTATAGATTACCCTAGTATGAGGATTAGCAATGCAAATATGAGGAGAAAACACTGATAAACCTTGTGCTTGGCTTTTCTTGATGGCAAAAAGTAACCAGGGGGAGCATTTCTTTGCTTAACATATCCAAACTGAGGGCGAATGAGAAGGATAAATCCGAGTAAAAAACCAGTCAAAAATCCCCCGAGATGAGCAAAGTTATCTACATGGGGGAGAACTCCAACAGCTAGATTTATCAGAATGATGAGAATGAGAGTCAATAGTGTTGCCAACTGAAGATACATGCAAAAGAACATGTAAGATTTTGACACACTTGTGAAATAGTTTTACACACACATACCAACTCTTTTTGTAAAAGGGTTTTCCTTTTAGTATTTATTATTCATGTGGTGGAGATTTGCTGATTTGGTCCTTAACCTTCAGGGCCAGTCCTGATATAGGGGCAGGTTAGGCGGCTGCCCAGGGCCCACCATGAAGAGGGGCCCATAAATTATTTAGTAACTACATATATATATATATATGGAGTCCAATTCATTTCAGGAGCGCTTGATCGGGAGTTTTGTACGGCCAAGCCCATTTGAGGTGCTTCCAGATGAAATTGTATGATGAAAGTTATGAGTATATTTTTCATTAAGTGTAGATTACGTCCACAAATTTTCAGTTTAAAACTCAATCGGGAAGTATGTTCAATAAATTATTGAAAAACAGTACGCTTTACACATGTTTAAAAAGCGCAGTGTTTTTCAATAATTTATTTAATTAACTTCTTAATGGAATTCGAAACTGAGATTTTGTATGAATAATCTAATCTTTATGAAGAATTCCATCACAAAATTTTATCAAAAAAATTGACCTTGAAGCTCGCATGCCTTTTTTTTTGTAAATTATGACCATGAAACTTTTGTAATACATTCTTATGACATATATATAATTAGGGGCTTACTTTTTGTCTTTTGTCCCGAGCCTTTAAATTATCAGGACCGGTCCTGCTAACCTTTGTTTGTGACTATTATTAGTTGTGCAAATTTATACTCTTAGAAATCATGTCACATACTCTGTAACTAATACTCTCTTCGTCCCTTAAAATTTTGACAACTTCTCTTTTTTGGATGTCTCATTAACTTTGCCACTTTCCCTTTTAATTAAAAAATTTGTGGTTCAAGTTAACTCTCTCTCCTCTGTAACCACACAGTTTTTACTTTATTAATTCTCGTGCCGGTCAAACTTGGCAAAATTATTAGGAAGGGAGGGAGTATTAGTTTGCTCATATGAGCATATTTTTGGAATATACGAAACCATCTTATTGTAACTAAAATATGTGGGACCGCCGACACAGGACTTTTTGGTGAAACTTATACATTCCGGCGAATTATTGTAGACAAACTTATTCATGACAGAACATAATTTACAAATAAGAGCATTTGATATTAGCACAAATATAAGTTAGAGTCTAAATCAACAAATTTATCCTTAATTACATACTCACCGTAATTCTTCTTTAATTTTTATCTTTTTAACTAAACTTCATCCTATTTAAGAAGGGGATCGAGCCTTAGCACACCGTTATGTTGTTGTTGTGTGACGAGAAGTCAGGGGTTCAAATCTTGGGAGTGATCTCTTATCAAAATGACAAGGGAAAGCTTACTCATTATACACCGTTGTGGTAGTACCTTCCCTAGAACTCACCTTACGAGGACGTCAATATGCACCGGGGTTCCCTTGTTTCATCCTATTCAAATTTAATTATATAGTCCTATTAATAATGGTATATGTATAATACATTGGTCTCGAGTTGCTTTTATGTTGTTTTGTGTTGCACTTTAAGATTTTTGAGTTATAATACTCATAGATAGATCGAGAGAAATATAGACACTAAAACAGGCGTGTAGTTTGGCCTCGACCCACCCCTAATTTGATTTTTTAAATATATATATGTACAATATTTTTGTGTAAAACTTATCGGATTATATTTGTACCTATTTAGTTACTTCAATTTATGTTGTAATTACGCCACTTCATACACATACTTCATAACTAGAAAATTGGTCGCGCGTTGCGCGAATGTTATATGCCCAATATGTACTTTGAATTTTGTATAATGCTTCATAATGTAAACAATTACTTGAATATATTGATAATAAAGATGATGCATCTTGCCAAAGACACAATTTTTATTTAACTTAATAAGAAATAGATGTTTTATTTATATAATTGAATATAGAAAATGTATTGAATCTGCTCGCATGATCTGTATAAATTTCAATCCCTACGGTCTTGCCTTTTCATCTTTCTCTACCTGGGTCAATGATAAATCTATGCTTGCTTGTGTCACCCGAATGATGTTGAATTTCTTTTTCAATGTCGGAGTGTTTGTTTTGTTGGAGGTTCACGGGGCAAAGGACAAAAACATTGTTTTCTTCAAAGTACAACGCAAAACTCCGCAAAGACAATGCAAATATGAAATACCTCATGATAATAATCGTAGTTTGATAGAAGTTGTACGTAGGGGATTCAACGTGAAAGAATAGGTCAAGCGGAGAAAAAGAAATTCATAGTTGGTTTAATTGAATCTAAACAAGATAAATCACCATACTTGTTGCTAAACTTAGCATGCTACAATAAAATCATAAAAATATAGTTTCTATGTTTTAATGAATATTAGTGACAGTGACATACTACATTGAGAAGATGGGAACAACGTAACATTTTAATTAAAACAAAATTGTCAATCACTAACTTCTCGAATTGATAATAATACCTAAATAAGCGGCTACTCGAGATGTAAACTATTTTTTCCATAGTAATAATGTATGATAAACTCAAGGTAGTCATCATGCAATAAAACGTATTAGGTAAAATAAATAATATATTAGGGGGAGCACTACACTCAAAAAACTAAACATGAAATGTTGGAGAAAAAATAGGGAAGTGCAAAGTCAAAAGAAACGAGTGCACAAAATAACATATTCCACACAAGTTCACTAATTCTATTTTTTAAGCTATTTTTATTCATCCCACTTACACTCTACAGATCAGAGAAGATTAGTATCATTTCATTTCTATATGCATAAACATTTTAATGAGATGTTTGCTTTTGAATTTAGATGGCGCACTTGCAATGAACTAACACACAAACGAACCATATTTAAAAAAGATTTGTGTTGTTTCTTAGTTGTTTGAAATGACACTAAGTTATGTTCAAAAATAATGGGGACAATTTTTTCTTTTTTGAATGAAATAATGGGGACAATTCTAAGACTGAGTGGAAATCAATATGTAAGAAAAAAAACCGATATGTGTGTTAGCATGTGAGAGTAAGTACAATGAAATAAGCTTCACATATTATCAAACACCTATTGTGCATTTCATTTCTTTTCATATGAGCCTGTTCAGATCATTTAATCATACTCGAGATCACATTAATGAGCTTCAGATTAATGCATTAGCTAGTCAATTTCAGATCATCTATCAATAATCGAGATAACATTTGTAGAACACAAGCATTACAATTTAAAAAAAAAACAGGAAATAGCCTCTAAGCAAAAAATAGTTAAAATGCAACGTGAACTCATTATGGGAAGAGAATAGTACAACTTAGATATTGATGATCATGATCGTGAGAAGGGGATAAGGGAACTTTAAATCCCATTATGTATTTGAATAGGTGAAAAGTTAAAATCTGAATATAAAATTGAATTGATAAGAGACGGTACATCTTGTCCATTGTCGAACAGAGATGTGGGTATCGTGTGATGATTTGGTTGGAAAATAAAAAATGGACTCAAACCAAGAAAACAACTCGACACGAGAGTTATACGCTGAAAAATTAAAAGTTGTTGAAACTGAAGAGTCGATACAAAAATGATAACACATAGCGGATATACCGATTTCATATCGTATGTGGAGTAAGCATCATTAAACACAAGTAACCATCGCCAAATGAATTTAACATTGTTAACGGTAAAATTGGATGGCAAGGTCGGCAATTTGAAAAATAGTTCATACGGGACAATATGATAGCACACGGTACTACACTTTAAAGCCTAACCATGACAAACCATGAGCATTTAATACTAAAACTGGCCTTTATAAGATAGGTTAAGATTTATATAGTACCTTATTTTCATATATGGTCCAATTTGTGAGCAATTCAGACAACATTGCTCCAAGCAAACCAAATAGAGCTCCTGAGGCACCAACCGAGATCGTCATCCTCACAAATAGGGCAGATGCTAAGCTTCCTCCCATTCCAGAGAGAATATAAAGCAAGCCAATCTTCACTGCAACAGGCATATATGCATGCAAGGTCAAATAATTGTACATATTATCTATCAGTTCTACGTTAGGGCTGTGGTGGGCTCAAGGGAGGATTCAGGAATCTGGAATGCCTAAGTTGAAAAGTAATTATATTAGTCTTAAACATTAGCGGAGTGGGCTAAAAATGAAAAATGAAAAAAAAAATACACTAAACAATTGAGAAAAATATTTAGTTGCTCTATGCTTCGGTCCATCATAGCGCATTCGTAGATCCTTTCTTGGGTGGGTTGAAGCCTAGAGCAACATAAATTTTGCTCTTTTTTCATTTTTTATATTTAACTCATATGGCTAATGTTTAAGTCTAGTATAATTGCTTTCCAACCCAGATTCCTAGATCTGTCCCTATCTATCACATACATCATATGTATAGAAAAGTCATAAGTTCACATCATTTTTAGGTTAAAATGAACAAAAATGATGTTTGTACACACTCTTATACACACTTTTGTACACATCTATGTCTGTGAAAGCTTTTTTTTGTCTGTGAACATCGATTCACAGACAATGTTTTGCACAAACATAATATTGTCTGTGAACCGGATTCACAGACAAAAAAAACTTCACAAACATGGTGTGTATAAAGTGTGTACAAGGGTGTGTACATCAAGCATGGTTGTAAAATGAAAGGGTTGTAATTAAGGTTTATCATACCAAACCCAAATTCTTGTTCAAGTCTGATGCCAACGCATAGAAGGCTAACCATGTTGGCAGCAACATGGAACACACCAGCATGTAACCACATACAAGAAAACAACCTCCATACTTGATGATCTTTCACCACCTTCTCCATTTCTAAAGCGCCCAGTTTTCGCAGCCTATAATAACATACGCTTAGTGTTAAAAGACAATAACGATAGTTGTAAAAGTAGTATCATAATTATTGGTATTCACGTAATTTGGTACATCATTTGTTAAATGAAGTGAATTGAAACCTTAAGTACATTCAATTGTTTCACAATGATACTATTTTGAAGTTCTTGTCAAAACAATCTTACTTATTCACATTATCTTCAGGTGAATTTGAAATGTTACAAACATATGTAACATATAGAATGTAACATGAACCTATTATTATGGTCTATGTTGGACGGAAACAGGGGAATATAGTGTATATGTCGTGAAAAACAAGATCTAATAGAAAAACATATTTTTGTAAATTTTTAAATAGTTTACACAAAAATTTTGGACATGGGACCATCTACAACTTTGATTAGTAAACATAGGAATATTAGTCCTGTAACTTTGTTCAGTTGGATATTTGGTCATATAACTAATAAATCTTTGTTCGTTGAAAAGATGTCACCGGCGTCGATTTTTTTGTCGGAAAGTGTACTTTCTGTTGAAAAAAATCTTAAATTGCAAAAATTTATTAGTTACTTAATCAAATTTGCAACCAACTAAAATTACATGCCAAATAACGGACACAACTAAAAGTTACGTGACTAAAATTGCAATTCTGTCTAAACATATCCCAAGAAAAAGAATAGAAAGGATGAAGACTCACGTATCAGCAGATGGCCCAAGCAGGGGATTTTCATGGAGGCTTTGGAACGCAAACCGGCCAAGGAAATCCGATCCGAAGCATTTCTCAGAATTTACGGGGCAGTCATTGACGTACATTACATATGCAAAGAGACCAATATTGACAAGGATAATGAGAGGGACGAGCCACGGAAACCATTTCTTAAACGGCCGGTAAGGCCTCGGCGGCGATGGAAGGGGAGGTGGGTGGTTGTGGTGGTGATGGCGACGGGGCTGGACATTAATTTCAAGTTCGGACCCCGGCAAGGAGTCCGGCGGGGTCCTCCCCATCGCGACGGAGCCACGCCACTTAAAACTCAAAGAACGGCAAACCAGATGCGGGTGATCGAAAGGTAAGGTGGCCTGATGGGGGAGAGACGATGATGATGATTATTCTTTAACTGGAAAATATCCTATGGATGATAGAGATTGAATGAAGGAATTTAGTTTTGTTGGAATAGACAATGCAACGGGAATTATGGGAAACATATTAGGGTATTATTTAATTTGCATTCTTCTTCGAAATGCAATGTGAATTAAGCAAAAATAAATGAGTGAATTATCTAAATAAGACAAAAAAAGTGGCCCACGAGTAAAAATAGCATCGCATCTTTTAAATTCCCCAGTAGGATTATTTATGTGTGTTTAGACATATATACCCTTGTAATTTTTAAAATGTCTTAATTAATAATAAAATCATAAAAAAAACGTAACAAAATAATAAAAAACATAGAAAAAAATAAAAAATATTTATAAAATAAAATATTAAAAAGTTTTAAGAAAAAAAATAAAAAATTAAAAAATAGAATTAAAAACGTAAAAAAAAACGCCGCCACCTCTTCCACCCCCAGCACCACTAGCTCCCATCACTAGTTGGAAATCTTCCAACATTTTTAGTAATGCCATAATAATGGCAAATTCAATGAGAATATAGGCATTATGAAGAGTAATAATATCATTTTCTTAGCGTTTTCGGGAAAAAATGACATTTTTGAAACAAATGGAAGAATTTTCACTGATCGAAGGTGGTGATGCTGAGAGGTGATGGAAAAGGTATCCATTTTTTATGAGTTTTTACTATTTCTTATTAATTTAAAAAAATTGCAAAAATACTCCGTATTTTTTAATTTTTTAAATTTATAAATATTTTATTATGTTTTTTATTTTTTACAATTTTAAATATTTTTGCGATATTTTATTATTTTTTAAGATTTTATTATGAATTAAAATATTTTATTATGAATTAATACCCTTAGAGATATTTAGGGTAGAAATCAATGTTTAGTCCTATTTTGGGGGGTTAAAATGTAGTAGTCCTATTTGTGCATTTTAGGTTATCATTAATCCTACCTAGATCAATTTTTTAAGATAAATGTAATTTGACATGACATCCTATTTTTTTTAGCAATATTAGACTTTAGACCGTACTTTTAAATCATTTGTGTAGAGTCAAATGACTTTAAATTGAAATTGGGTGTATACATTAGGAATGATTTCAAAAATATAATGCAAAATTTAATATCGATCAAAAATGAGGTGCAAGTCAAATTGACCCTTATTAAAACTAACTTTCCAGCAAATTCTCAACGTTTATGACTAAAGGCGAATCCACGGAGGGTCTAGGTAGTCAACTAACCTTCTCTGAAAGTTTGAGAATATAGATAATTAAAATATCTTTTCATTAAATATATTATGACTCACGTTATGTAAACAGTTATTACTTTTGTAAAATCAACATCATCTAAATTTGAAATGAGTAAAATTTGATGCATAATATTGATTATGTTCCCAAATTTTAAGCGTCTAATCCCTGATCATGTACGTAAATTTTATTCTACATGATGTATATCAAATGATTCAAATCTATAATTCTATTAGTCCCATTTAAATTACATTTATTTAAGCTATATCTGAAATATTCAATTAATACTCCATATGTTTTTTTAAAATGGTCTACATTTTTTGTTATGTACTGCATCCAATTCTTATTTAAGTGCATGTTTGACTTCACATGGTTTAAGATATTTTTTTTTTACTTTCCTATTATAACGGTATAACCTTTACTTTAATGTACTAACCTTCATATTGATGCTTCATATTCACGGTAAAAAAAAATCGTTCGTACTTCTTCTTCAAGCTGCCCACAAATGGGAAATGAAGATCTGCAGCACCGCTAGCTAAATAGTTCACTGGTTCATCTTCTTCGTTGCAACTTGCAACAAGTAACTATCAGATCTGTTATGTTGGTCGACCCGCGGTGTCTATCACGCGTGTCTATAAATTAAATGTGAAAAAAAGATCGGCACCACCGTACCAGCTAAACCGCCGCTCGCCATCGCTGGTTCGTCTTCTTCGTCGCAACAACCAACCACAAATCTGGCCGGTTTTGATGGTTGACACGCCGCTCGCTTTATTAGCTTCTTCGTCGCTGGATTCTCTTCGCTCGTCCCTCAGAGCGGCGCTAGCTGCTTCATGCCTTTGATTCTACTAATGTCCATGTTTTTAATTTCTGCTTTGGATTTCGTTCATATATATACGGCGCAGTTCTTCTCTCTGTTAATTTTAATGGAAGTATACATAAAATAAAATTTTCTGGTGATAATTTAGTGTATCACAGGGTAAGATCGCGTACATCCGACCCCCTTACCCCACCGTAAATGGAAGTCTTTTCGGCACTGGGGTAAATGAAAATGAAAATATGCAGTAAATTATTTCATCAGCATTTGTAGCATATAACAATTACGGGGAGTTTTACGAAACAAGTATAATATTTCAGCCTTTGTTTAACATATTCGAAGTTACAGCTGAAGCAAATTAAATTTTCTTTAGAATAGAGGTCAATTTTTTCCAGGTTTCAAAAGTGATGGAGCCATACTTATAAAATACGTAAAGTGTAGTTTTAGAAGGGAAGTTCTGCATCTAATCCAATGTTAACTTTTTTCATTGTTTCTTAAAATAAGGTGTTTGCTATGGTACCCAACAAAAATAGGAGGGTATCATACCTAGGATGCATTTCATTGGTGCAATTCAAAGTTTTACATTTTATTTGCATTTAAATTATTCAATTGAAAACTTTTGATTGGTCCATGTCATCAAGGTACCATACCTTCAAGGCACCATAGAAATTGCCTTAAAATAAAAGGTTAAAACAGCAACTAAACACGTGTCAAATTAAGCCTCCTTTATTTTGAATAAGTGCGTCTTCATGTTCTCACATGTCTATTTATATATAAGAAAAAAGATAGTTCATATAAATACCATTTTAGAGCAATTTCTAAATAACAAAACAATAAGATGCGGATAGAAATGCATGGTGGGTCCCATAATATAAAAAACCTCTTTTTCTTTAAAAGTGTTATAACTTTTTCATTATTGATCCAATTTCTTCAAAAAAATATATCAAAATTTATAATTTTTTACTATCTTTCATATGACATCAATATTATCTATATTTTTTATAATTTATTCTCTTTTAAGTAATAAATTTGTGGATTAACCTATTTTGAACTAATAAATGAGCGAGATAATTTTCTATCTCATACGTAATAATTTTAGGTATAAGATAATTTTAGGTATATGAAGAGAAGATAAATGGGCTAATATTTAAACGGGAAAAACTTCCTCCTCTTATGTGTAGTTGCTTTAGGTAAACTACATAAGTGGACTAATAATTATTGGGGGTATTTTCTCTTACATATTTAGTCCTTTTAGGTATAAGAAGATAAACAAACTAATAATTGACCAGTCGAATTTTGTCTCTCATATGTAATGCTTTTTGGTATAAGATAAACGGACTCATAATTGAGCGAAAAAATTATTTATCATATGTTGTGCTTTTAGGTATAGTAATATAAGTGGATTAATAATTGAGCGGGAAAATTTTATCTCTCACATATATTGCTTTTAGGTATATGAGAAGATAAACGGACTAATAATTAAGCATGAAAATTTTCTATCTCATACGTAGTGTTTGAGGTATATAAGATAAGCAGACTAATAATTGAGCGGGAGAATTTAATCTCTCATACGTAATGCTTTTCAGTCAAAGATAACAACATAAATGGACTAATAATTGAGCGCGAGAATTTCCTCTCTCATACGTAGTGCTTTTAGGTCAAAGATAAGCCGACTAAAACTTAAGCAGTAGAATTTTCTGTCTCATATGTTGTACTTTTAGGTATAAGATAAGACGACTAACAATTCAGCGGGAGATGTTTCTCTCTCATACGTAGTGCTTTTATATTAGGTATGAGATAATTCGGCTAAAACAATTGAGCGGAGGAATTTTCTCTCTCATACGTAGTGATTTAATGTATAAAAAGATAAACCGGCTAAAACTTGAATGGGAGAATTTTCTCCCTTATACGTAGAAGTGGTTTTGATTATAAGATAAGCTCATAAACCAGCTAAGAATTGAGCGGGTGAATTTTCTATCTCATATGTGCTACTTTTACTTATAAGATAGACCGATTAAAATAAATAAATAAATAATAATAATAATAATAATAACAATAATAATAATAATAATAATAATAATAATAATAAAGATTGAGTATGAGAAGTATAGGTATAAAATAAGTCGGCTTAAACAATTGAGCGGGAGAATTCTCTTTCTCATACGTAGAGGTTTTAGGTATAAGAAGATAAGCGGGCTTAAACTTAAGCACGAGAATTTTCTCTCTCATACATAAAGTTTTTAGGCATAAGATAAGCCTGCTAAAATTTAAGCCGAAAATTTTCTTCTCTCATACGTAGTGCTTTTGTATATAAAAAGATATAAGTCGGCTAAAACTTGACCAAAAGAATTTTGCCTCTCATACGTAGTGCTTTTAGATAAAAGAAGATAAGAGGCTAACAATTCAGCGGGAGAATTTTCTCTCTCATATGTATATTGCTTTTAGGTATAATAATAAGAAGATTAGCCAGTTAAAACTTGAGCGGATGAATTTTCTCTCTCCAACGTGGTGCTTTTAGTATAAGATCAGAGGACTAATAATTTAGTGGAAGAATTTTCTCTCTCATACGTATTGATTTTAGTTATAAAAAGATTAACGTGCAGATAATTAAGCGGGACAATTTTCTCTCTCTTACGTAATGATTTTAGATATAAGAAGATAAGATGTGTAGACGAATAATTGAGCGAAATAATTTTTCTCACATATGTAATGCTTTTAGGTATAGGATAAACAAAATAATAATTGATCGAGAGAATTTCATCTCATATTTTTTCTCTCATGACCTTTTAAACTTATGAGAAGACATTTTTCGATAATTATCACCAATGTTATGACAATCAATAAATATCAAGCTCTATCACTACAAAAAGATAAAATATTCTTACCTAGATGTATTTTAGTCATGTAAAATTTATATATATGACGTTAGAGAGAGTTTAGAAAACATGGATTAATGATTTTAATACTACTCCAAGTCATTACTACTTCAAGTTGTCTTTAAGGTAGTTATTCAAAACTTTAACAATTAAGTTCAATATTTCATTCTGTTACCAACAACACTAATTATTTTTATGTAGTAAATTTTAATGGATGATGTCGATTTTTTATATTTTAATTTTCTTTTACTTTGAATATTTGTTGTATGGATTTATGCTTTTTTATATTCACTTATCATACTCCATTTTTGAAATGTTGTAAATTGCAAGAAAAAAAAATCTATTTTATATTTAATTAGACCGTGAATAAAAGTATGTGTAGACCAATCATTTTTTCCCGTGCGTATGCACGGGTACTGTGCTAGTTACTCTATAATTTGTATCACGTGAAGCATTAAGCGGGCCTCAAGTACCTTTTTGACTTTACTTCTAGTCTAGTCTGTTTAACTCTGATCGGTATGTTTAAGTGTGGTCTGGTTTGGTCTGGTGTGATCTGGTCCGGTAAAAGTTTGGTCTTTGTGTATTTTATGACTACAGAAGTCAAGTCTGTCTGATCTGGTCTGGTCTGGTCTAGTCTGCTTAAGTCTGGTTTGGTCTGATTTGGTTTGATCTGGTTTGTTTAATTCTTGTCCGGTCTGGTACGGATCTGAAACCGTTCAAGTAAAAACATCATTGAAGGGAAAAACAAAGTGATACACCTTGTTATTTTATATTATTATTACAGATTATAGATTATAGATAGGTGACAACTCCGGTACCTTTCTGAAATATGGGATACCGTACCTACCATTCATTTGATTGGACCACACCACTTTATCATTTTTAATTTAGATTTAAATAATTCAACTGCTACATTCTCATTGGTCCATGTGGATAAAAGTACGGTACCTTATGGGTACCATAGAATCTACCTTATAGATATGCATTAATAACAAGTACATTGAATTTGAATTAGAAACAAAAGACCCTTTAGTTATGAGGAAAGTAAGGATAGACCGAGCATGTCGAACTGAAATTTGATGGTCTTGTGTATTTTATAACTATAAAAGTTTGGTTTAATTCGTTCAAGTCTGATTTGATTTGGTCAGTTTAAGTTAGGTCTGAAAAAAGATCGAGTAAAAACATCCTTAAATAGGAATTGAAGTAGTCACTAACCCCTTAATTATATCATTAAGGATGCTTTTAATCTCAAACGAGATCATATTCAAACAGATCAAATTGGACTAGATCATATAAGATTTCGATAATTGTAAAATATACATAGAACAAATATATTTCAGATCGGACTTAAACAATCCATATCAGGCCACATCTAATTACACCACAAAATTTCAAGGGCCAATTTTTCAATTCAATTAAAAATAGAGAAATTACCCAAAATAGGACTAAAACCGTTTGTATATTCCAAAATAGGACTATCATATTTTTATTCCCAAAATAGGACTAATTACTGTAATGTTTTGGCAGTACCAGAATTTAAACATGACAATATTTTCCAAACTTGACAATAATTACTCCTATTTTGGGAATAAAAACATGACAGTCCTATTTTGGAATTTCCAAACTTTTGTACTCCTATTTCGGGAATTTTCCCTTAAAAATAAAATAACCTCATAGCTGATGATGATTAACTTTTGCATTCGAACCTTGGGGTTTGGATGTTTTCACTTGAACTTTTTTCAATCCCAAACAAGACTAGGACAGATTAAATCATACTTAAACAGATCAAACTAGACCAGACTTAAACAGACTAGAGCAGACTTCGATAGTTACACATAAATTAGATACTTATCAGACTAAATCAGACCGATTCAGATCAGATAAGATTTAAATAGACGTGTTCACATTAAATCACATCAAACCAAAAAAAATGAAAAAATTGATGTTAGTACGACTAAATCATGCAAATTTACAAGATTAAGACTTAGTTTAAAAAAATCATCAGTAAGTAGTTAAAAAAATTCATATGTAAGCTTTATTTATTTTTATTTTAGGAAACTTAATTTTTAGTTTCCCTTTTTACCCTTCACTTAAGTTAGTGTATTAACGATCAATCTCTTCTGCAACGATCAATCTCTTTCACAGCGGCCAATCTCTTCCACAGCAACCGTCTTCTTCGTCCGTTCTTCATCTTAATGGGAAGCCATCATGCGGTGACAGCGTCATCAAATTCCGATTGGGCAGTGCCGGTGATTCCATTAATGTCTTTCACGGTGGATATTTGCAGACCACAACTTCTGCTGCCCGCTCCGATCTCAATCCGCTCCGTCTTTAAAGTAATATGCTTCGTCCGTGGCTATTATTACGATGCTATTCGGTGGATATTTTGATTGTTTTATTCCAATCTTTCATTGGTTCATTGGTAAGTTTTATCACTCAATTTATTAAGAAAATTGTCATTGTTTGATGTTTTCATGTATAAACGAATTTCGTTTATATATTCTTTATCTGTTTTGTCATCTTCTATTTTCAATTCTAATTGTGGTCTTGAAAGTGCAAATCAAAGTGTTTATCTTCTCTGTTTTTTAATGTGCATTGTAGATTTCTGTTTTTTCTACTTCATATAGTTCTTTGATCGTTTTGTTTGTGTGATTAATCTGTATGTGCTCTTTTACTAAATAGTTGCAAGCTTCATGACTATAAATTCATCTTACTTTTCATGACTCATATATACATTTAACTTGTGCTTATGTATTTGTGTTTATCTTTTATTTAGTGACTCATTTATCCTCTATATATTGTCCATGTCATTATCATTTTGTTGTTGTTCATGCTTTTGAATTGTTAATCACACTGATTGTTGTTTTCCGGTTTTTATGATATTTAATGCTGATTTGGCGGTTTTACTAATCATATTCATCTAGTATTGCATTTTATTGTCTCTTTCGTTTTAGATGTAACTACAAATAATATAATTATGTTGATTATGCTTAAGGTTGATGACACATGGGACAAGTTAAAATGTTTCTCTAACTAACGAAGCTTTTGGCTAATAGTACCTGACGTGACATTGTATGTTCAGTATACTTCCCTAGTTTATGCATGCATTGGTGAATCTGTTAACAACAAAGATTATAATATCTTACCTTATTCATGCATGTGCACCTCCTATGGTTGTTGGTGATCCTTGTAGCTTAGAACTGTACTTGGCTCTAAAAAGGGTTCACCCTGAGGTCCCTAACTATGCGATGTTTATTTCGTGTGTTGAGTTGTTTACTGTACCCGTTTGCATCAATAATCATACCTCCAAAAGGTTGTAGCCGAATTTTCTGCAATTGATTTCAATCTGTGCCAATTCTCCATTCATGACTTATTAACCAAAAGACATGTCTGCCACGTTTATTCTAATTGATCTCAATGTTGCTGCCATGGATTCACTTGTGCACCAAAAAAATGATTCGATGAATTTAAAAAACATATATTCCTCTTCCATTGACGATTCAGAAGACAACTTAATGATTCATATCAACACTTTTTAGCTTTGTCTTCTTCAAGTCAAGCTCCCAGTTTTGATTCAGACTCCCGTTTCAATTCTTTGTATGTTGTTCCCGGTTTTGATGTTCTTTCTAACTACTATCATACTCATATTGTTGCATGTTGTTTGTATTGATGATGAATGCAACTAGACTGTTCATGGAGTGATGCTTTTTGGAATTCATATGTTCCAGATTAGAAGGTACATGTTTTGATTTTACAGGTGACGTCTTTTGTTCATTCTGCATTTTATGTACTTCCTTTTATTTTATTTTAATGTCTTTCGTTTTTGTTTAAGGACTATTAAGGACTACTTAGTGTCTATACTTATCTGATATTTGTGTTCTTCTTTTCAGGTTTGATTCTGACCATTCCTATTATATTGATTTTAGACAATGCCATCATCAACAATCCACATCTGAAATTATTGCAGAATTTATAAAGTACCGATATGCAGATGCATCTAGAAAATCCTCTGCTTAGAATAATATAGTGGTTGACATGAATAGAGATTATGGTGTGACACTAAACAAGCTAAAGAAGACTCTTGCCCATAGAGATAATTTATTTATTTTGTCACAGATCGGCATGCGGGAATTATTCATGTAGCAAGAACAGTTTCTTCACATGCACGCTGAACATGGGTACTGTGTTCAACACTTTTTAGACAATATTAGGACAAACTTTAGAGGATCTACTACTAGTTTGCCATTGAAGTTCAACTGGGCAGTCAAGTCTGCCACAAGATCCCCCTATTCGTACTTATCTGTTGAAGTTCAAGCGGAGAGTTTGGTTACCGGCAACGTTATTCACGGTGCAAGAAAGGTGGACACAATAAGAAGTCTTGCAGGAATTCTATCCCGATCCGTAGTTCTTAGTTTGATAATATTATTTCCTAGAATAACATTTATAAGACTTACACACCAAGCAACATCCCTCACACACCTGCTAATTGAAGACAGAAGGCCGCTGGAGTACTGATTGAACACATCAACACTCTAATTGTACTCATACATGTATTTTGTCTTCAAAAGTAATGTATAGATCGACCTTTATGTTCATATTCATGTGATTTGTATTGTACTTATGCATGGGAAATATTTCCAAATCTCATTTCAAGAGTTGAATCTATTAAGTTTCATAGTTGTTCATAATTTTTTGCTAAAGTTTGTACTTATATTAACTGTAGGAATTTAATGTCTGCGCCTGAGACATTAAGGACTTAATGTCTACTTATAAGTAGACCTTAATCAGAACCTTCTGTTTCTAGATCAGTCTCTACTGATTGAACACAACAGCCTATTGATCGTATTCATACATTTATTTTATCTTCAAAAGAGATGTATAGAACTTTATGTTCATATAATCATTCAGATTGAAGCATGATTTCGAGTTTTGATCTCCTTTTTATTGAGCCTCCCTGCTTCAAAAATCTCTATCGGAGTAATTCTTCCTTTTCGGTGTTCTCAACATCCGTATCCTCCAATCTTTTCTTCGTCGGATTTCTTCAGAGTCGATCAGCTTGCTTTTTTGTTACTCTTTCTGGTGGTGATTTGGAAGCTGTGAAGAAGAATTTTGATCTACAAATTTTTTCCGTCGTGTCTGGGATTTGGAAGCTCCGAACCAGCTAGTTTGTCCGTTCACAAAATTTTAGTATTTAGTGTCGAGAGGTTTTGATATGGTGGAGCTATGTGATTTTAATTTGAGGGTATAATCGTCAAAAGATATGTACTTAAGTCCTACTTATACTTGCAATCCTAATTTTGGAAAATGATTGGATCTTATTTGTCTAATTTTCTCAAAAAAAAATTAGTCCAATTAAAACATCCTTCATCTCCCTGTCCAGCCAACCCAATCGTTCTATCTTCCGACTTTGGGAATCTGATTTAAGAGAAATTATATACGGAGTATATCATTGAATTACTATATTAATTAATATTCCTAATGGCGCATTAGGCTTATTTTATTTATTTTAGTCAATTTCTTTTACCTTCGATTGGTAAGTTTGAAGTTTCTATTCCCAGTCATATTCTTTATTAACTAGTCATTTAATCCGTCATTAGGAACATTAATTAATATAGTAATTCCATCCGAGGTAGAAGGAATCACATGGAGAATTCGATCGCCGCCACCGCAAGGTCGTGCCGCAACAAGTTTTGGTTTGTATTCTTTTCTGTCATGTTCTTGTTTTGGTACCTATTGATCTACGGTCTGGATTGGTTTTCTTTTCCGGGAACCTCATTTTTGTTCAAGCAATCATCCATTCCATTTGCTCTGGATCCAAATGTGACTAACCCGAAAGATTCGGAGTTGATGAAAGCAATAATCACAAAACAGGATGATGATTCTGTAATGCAGGATTCATGTTCGGGGAGATATATTTATGTGTACGATTTGCCCAGTAGATTCAATGATGATCTGATTAAAGAATGCAAATTGTTGAATAACTGGGTGGATATGTGTGATTATTTGGTTAATATGGGGTTTGGTCATGATCTTGGGAACCCCCATAGGATTTTCCAAGAGAAAGGATGGTTCTCCACGAACCAATTCTCGCTAGAGCCGATATTCCACGTCCGAATCAAACGTTATGAGTGTTTAACTAACGATCCCGCGGTAGCGGCTGCCATCTTCGTCCCGTACTATGCGGGTCTCGACGTCGGCCGCTATTTGTGGGACGGTTTCAACACTTCGGTCCGTGATTCGGGCGCTCGGGCTCTAGCGAAATGGCTCAGGGGAAGGCCCGAGTGGAATGCCATGGGCGGGAAGGACCACTTCATGGTTGCGGGGCGGATAACGTGGGACTTCCGGCGGTTAGACGACGACGATTCCTCTTGGGGGAACAAGTTAATGTTGCTGCCGGAGTTTCAGAACATGTCCGTGTTGACCATCGAGTCAAGTCCTTGGAGCAAGAACGACTTCGCCATCCCCTACCCGTCGTACTTCCACCCCTCCACTGACGACCAGGTTTTCCGGTGGCAGAACAGGATGCGCCGTCTACGGAGGCGCACTCTGTTTTCATTCGCCGGCGCCCCGAGACCAAACATGGAAGAATCTATCCGGGGTCAAATCATCCGGCAGTGTCTCCGGTCAACGAAAGGGAGGTGCAAGCTCTTGGAATGCCGGCCGGAAACCAAGAAATGTGACAATCCATATCATCTCATGAAGATGTTTCAGAACTCTGTTTTCTGCTTAGAACCTCCGGGGGATTCGTTCACGAGAAGGTCAACGTTTGACTCGATTCTGGCTGGCTGTATACCGGTGTTCTTTACTCCGGCGTCGGCTTACGTGCAGTATATATGGCACTTGCCGAGAAACCACACCGGATACTCTGTTCTGATACCGGAAAATGATGTCAGAGAGAATAAGGTGAGCATTGAGAGGATTCTTTCTGGGATTCCGAAATCTCGGGTTGCGGAAATGAGAGAAGAGGTGATTCGGCTTATTCCCAGAGTTGTTTATGCGGATCCAGGGGGGAGATTGGAGAGGTTTAAAGATGCGTTTGATTTGACGGTGGAAGGGGTGATAGAGAGAGTGGGAAAGCTGAGGAAGGAGATGAAAGAGATGAAGAAGGAATCAGGTTTTGATTTTGAGGAAGAGAATAGTTGGAAGTATTATACGTTTGGGACATTAGAGAAGCATGAATGGGATCACTTTTTTAGAAGATCTTTGAAATAGTGGGATATTTTATGGGGTTTTCCTTATGTAGAAATCGTTTACTTGTCTTGTACACGATGTTATTTTGTACACATATTTTAAAACTATAATATTATATTAGATTCACATATTAACATACATAACAACTGATTATAAATAAAATTTAATAAGTTTTTATAAAAGAAAAAATAGAAAAAAAATGAATTAGAAGGTGTGAAGCAGAGATCAGGATTATCAATTAGACTCCTATTACTCAACAGAATATATATGATGCTCATTAAAAATTCATTAATGCTCATTTACTAGAAAAATTATGAATTTTATTTCAATAGTGAAGGTTTGATGCTAATTGTAAAATATCATATTAATTCATAGTTCAAAAGTATCATATTGGATTCGGATAAGAGTTAAAGTCTTGATGATCAACCAACAAAGCTTATGATTTTCATATCATTACTCATTTTGTAAGTAATGTATGCTAATTTTGTACTGGCACTACTAGAAAAATGCCTTACAGTGACACCAAATTAGTGTCACTGAAAGTTTCTGTGACACTAAAAAAGTGTCGCTGAAAGTGGGGGCTAGTGACACTTAGAAAGTGTCACTACAAGTGTCACTAAATTGTGACACTGAAGTATCACTAAATAGTGATACATTAGCGACATAACTATTCGGCGACACATTTACATCACATATTCTAGTGACACTGCGGTATCACATTATTTTGTTTTCCATTCAAAAAACATGCTACGTTAGTGACACTTTGGTATCACTTGGTTTTGCACTGTTTCCGCATTCCGAATTAACTAATTATAATTTGGAATTTCCATTTCAATTATATTTTGAAATTTCAAATTCAATATTCACTAATCTCATAAACGATAATAAAGTCAATAAATCTCAAAACATAGATTGAACGTTTAAAGTATATTATTCATTTCAAACTCCAAGCTACACTGTTGTTGAAGTTTGCATTGTAGATATATATGCAAAAACCAGAATACTATGCTGGACAAAACATGTCAAAAAAACCCAGCAAGATCCAACACCAAAATGATCACTTTACCACTTAGCTAGCCATCATTGGTTAATAGAATTCTAAGCAACTACATAGTTTAGTCCAAAAAAGTGAGCTGCCTACACGTCATATATACATATAGTACGTGAAGTTAATTGGAAACACCAATTCAATAACAATTCGTAAGTACACATCGCTCAGCTTCACATCATCAAGTCTTCATGGCAGGAGCCTTCATCATCACTGAAAATGACCGATACACCATATTAATGATACAATTATTAAGCTTGCACAGGTTTATCATATCCATATAACCAAATAAGCTTGCATAAGTTTTCTAAAACAAATTGTTGCTCTGTTATTTCAGGACCGTTTGTACTCTCAAACGAAAACAACATTTCAGGATCATTGACAGAAGTACAACATGATAATTAAGAACAAGAAAAACAAAACTAGTTCATATATGTTTCTCATGTTACTTTGAAACTATAAACTTACTTGTTATCAAAGTAGTTTCTTCACAAAACTAGTACCAAAGTTACTTTCTTCACATTTGAACTATAAACTTACTTGTTATCAAAGTAGCTGCATATGTAGCACACTCCTCACGTATTCCCAAAATATCACCTTCAGTGTACTCCTTAATTTTAGAGAACTTCAATAAAAAATTACAATTTATATTAGCACTTAATTGAAAGTACAGAAGTAATAAAAAACAAAGATTCCACTTGACTCACATTTTGCTTCAAGAGTTTGACATCGGATGCAATGTCTTTCATATATTTCATAACAAAATAACCGCATTCCATTGCTCCTGCTTGCTTAGGGCACTGCACATATTAATCCAAACGGGACCATCACTTACTTCAATTTTAACACAGTTACACAATTTTTTACACAAATGACATGTGTAAAATGTAAATTGCTTGAATGCACATACCATGACTCGCACCCATTTCAGATTCATCCTATTCTTAGAAGTTGAGGCATGATGAATCCTCACTCCTCTGAAAACAAAAGAGAATGCCATTATTAAAAACAGCTTTAAGGGGGCTATGAATTATCACAAAAAGCACACATAATGTTTAATTTAACGTTTAACTTAACTGATTCACTATTCCTTCCAAATCTTCGGATGGAGATCCTTCTATAGAATCCAGGTAATACACCGTTTGCATTGCCATGTCAATTGCGGCCAACACCCAATGAGCGCTACATATCACATTTTTGTAAAAATGTCATACAAAATAAACGATAACCTGGCATAAAATATACAACATTTTGCATACGAGACAATAATTTACCCAGTATTGTAGGGGATTAATGTGATCTGTCCAAGCAATGCAATGCCTAAAAGATCAGCTATATACTGGGACCTCTTTGTAACGGATTGCACTGATGGCTTCTTCGGTATGCGTACAGCTGCAGAAGTACCAAACTGAACTAGGATCTCTCCACCTTCATTTACCATTTTCTCATGCAAGTACCTAGTATTTGATTGAAATATTAAGTAGTAACTGATTTGGGTAGAACGAGTACAAAGTTTGCTTCAGAAATGTTTATTCAACCACTGACAGTTTTACATAATTTAAGTATATTCAAACTAATACTCGAAATTATTAAATAAGAACTTAATACCTCGCCCAAATCTCAATTATAGAGTTTGTAACCTCCTCAAAGTTGATGACCAACCGGCAACCATCCTTGTTAAACACAGATTTAGTTTCGAACCCAAATATTTCAGCACCATGGCTGATTGTGCACTCATCACCTAGACAGTTCTCAACTAAAATGGAAAACATTTGCAAGTTAGCACTCTGACTTCTTTTCTTTTCAGCAACCAACCTTGTCCTTCTTTGCATATTTAGTGGGGGTTTTGCTTTCATTTTTGCCCTCTTCTCTTTGACATACACCACACCACACCTCTCTAGCTCTTCGGGATTATCCTCAATGACTTCATATGAAGGCTTTGTTGTTGTGTTCATCTTCTTCATTTGCAGAGGCTGCTCTTCATCTTCACTCATATCCTATTTAACACAAAGTATAAGTTAATGTGTGTATCAAATTTCATTGATTTTAACGTGTACTGGCTGTGTGTATAAATTTCATTGATTTTAATGTGTTTGACCACAAAAAATAACTACAAGTATCAACCTTCATTCAAACCCTAATTAATAATGTTATTTTATGAATATGTGGTCTGCTATATATACATACAAAGTAACACAAATGATTACGAAGGTTTACAACATTTACCAAAACAATGAAGAGTTTAAGCACCACCATCACATTAATAAGGCTCTGAGACTCCAACTAAAATTGCATACATATTATTTTAAAACTCAATATGCAATTCATAATCAATCACTGGAGACATGAAACTCAAAACTAAGGTATTATCATGCTCAAGGCAGTGTGCTTTATATTGATCTACATCATATTCAAATTGGTGATTAAGTAACATAGATATGTTACCTCCTTCGAACTTTGAAACTTTGCATTTTTTCTCTCCTCTCTTTGAAAACTTTGAACCCCTAACAGAGGTTGCTCTTCATATTGATCCACATCCTATTCAAATTGGTGATTAATATTATGAACTTTGATAAATTAAAAGCATCTAACTTATTGCTTACAAATAAATGTGCAATTAAGAGAACTTATAAATATTGATTTTTTTAGTAACTAGATATGTCACCTCCTTGAAACTTTGTAACTTTGATAGAGGTTTTCTATCATTTTTGTCATCCTCTTTTTGGAAACTTTGAACCCCAGGGAGAGGCTGCTCTTCATCTTCATTCATTTTCTATTTAACACAAAATATAAGTCAAAACATCTAATCGAATCGGTGATTAATAATACCGACTTTAATGATATAAAACCATTTAACTTGGTATATACAAATAAATCTTAAAGTAAGAAAACTTATAAATGTAGATTTTTTTAGTAACTAGATATGTTACCTCATCTGAACTTTTAAACTTTGAAAGGGATTTTCTATCACTTTTTCCCTCCTCTCTATGGAAACTTTTAACCGCTGGCAGAGGCTGCTCTTCATCTTCATCAATATCCTATTTAACACAGAGTATAAGTTCAAACATGTAATCAAATTGGTGACTAATACTATGAACTTCAATAAATCAAAAACATCTAATTTAATAATTGATTTTTAGTAACTATATGTGTCACCTCCTCGTCAGACATGTGTGGTGAAGTCTCTATTTTTACACGTCGGGGCGATCTTCTAGGAACAGTTTCAAACAGCCTTTTCTGAGGAGTATACCTTGATTTCCTCGTCACCGGAGTACTCTATTTACAGAAATATAATTATTTATTAAGTATAGACCAATAACAAAAGCTGAAATATAATAAGTTTGTTACATGAAATGCATGGTGAAGATAAAGAGTAGTTGTATACATCTCTGTTTCCTTCATTCCCTTCCTCAACTTGCTCATTCCCACCATTCATGATTTTAGTGTGCTTCGACTTAAATCTAGGAGATTTCCTAGGAGTAAACATGGGCTGATCCACCTCTCCACCAGACTTAGCAATGAAAAATATACATTAGCTTTAACTGTACATGTAAATAGGATATGAAAGAATGTACTAAATGTGAGTGCATACCTTTCTCTTTTGAGACTTATTGGCAATACTACAACTGCCAATTTCACTAAAACCATTCGACATACAAGTTTTCATTTCATCGAACTTCTCCAACATCAGCTCGTATCTTTTATCACATATTTTCTTTTCTTTCTCCTTCTCAGTTATCGCAGAACTTGGCCTGTGGAAGTACGTTGTTGGGGTTATGAAGTGCCCTACACCCTGTATTCTGCTACCATTAGGCTTTTTCCGAAGAGCAACTGCAAGAACATCATTGTCTTCAACCGGCCTAAATGACCCTTCAGTTACTTTATTCTCCAGCTCCTTCTGTGAAAATACGTCAAAACATCATTTTAAATCAATCAAGTACCAACAAGCTCCTTCAGTACAAACAATTACAACAACATTCTAGAGAATGTTGGAGCTGACAAAAACACTTCATTTCTAATAAAAAACTTACAATTTCATGAGCCACTTCCACAACACAAGCATCATATCCGCCTCCCTTTTTCTCCCTTCCCCACAGCCATGTGTGATCGATCGATGACTATCACATTAGTTCTAAGTTCTTTTTTCTGTCATTTTTGAAAAATAAAAAATAATTATCCAAACAGCAAAACATCAATTAATAAAAACACAGAAGATGATGGCAAACCTTCTTCTTAATTAGCCCTGCATAACCCGTGGATCCCAGTCGGTGGTTATATATATTCTTCTCCCGGTTCTCTCTCCTTTTTTTGCTTTTCACCTCAAACCATTTACAAAATATTTAAACTAATACTCAAAAATGTAGTACTATTTAATAATACTTCTTTAACAATTATAATAACCTGAAATTCTTCTTTGAATGTCTTTTTAACAAACATTCTCCATTCATCAGTAGTTATTTGCTTATACTTTTCAGGAGGAAAGCGTAACTTCTCGCGATTATTCCTGTACTTCCAGATGAATTTCGTGCGTAGCTTGCATCTGAAATTTCTGAGCGCAACTCCCATTGCACTGTTGATATGTTTCCTTGAGTTCGGAGGCAAGATGAACAGTTTCTACAAAAAAAACATCATAAATATTGTGTGGTTGTCATTCGTCGTAGTATAATAAATATATTATTATTTACCAGAATATGCTTCCAAATGTCGTTTGTAACTTCCTCTAGAACTGCTCTCCAATCATCATACATTATCGACACATAGTCTCTCACCAATACTCCAATGTAACTGACCAGTTAAGTCCAGCCCTGACCAGCAAGAACACCAAACTCATTCGCTTGGACCACCACTTTGTCATCATTAGATTTCTGAAGCAGCATTTTCTTCTTTGTTTTCTGTCGCCTAAGTGGTCTCTCGTCCAATCTCTCGTCCAAGTCATCCATATCATCTTCTGTCTCTACATCTTCTGTGTCTTTGTTGTGATTTTTCATAGCTGACTTCATCCTGCATATACAAACATGAAATAAGTAAAAGATATTAGTTCTTTCTAAATGGACACTAAATTAAATAATACAGAACTGAATATCACAAAAATTCACTTTGTAAAATCAAAGAGGCACTTACTGTAACAAGAAAAGAAAAGAAAACATTGCACGGCACTCCGGACTCACAGGCTTTTCACTGACATCACAGTTTATGATGATTGTCACCATCATCTAGGGCTCCCGAATCAGGAATGTTTATTGGGTATTGTGAAGTTAGAGGCTCATGTATGATTATTTCTTCACATTCAGTATCCGCTGAATTATTGACCCTTTGACCAACTGAACAAACTATAGAGTTTCTTGGATCAAGTTGATCTTTCACATAAAAAACTTGCTTTGCATGTGAGGCTAAAATGAAGCTATCTGTTTTGTGACCAATTTTATTTAGATTAACTAATGTGCACCCCAACTTATCTTTTTTTACATGCCTACTATGTACCCAATCACACTTGAAAACGACCCTCTTAGTCAAGAGGTAATGAAGAACCCAGATTTCAACAAGGACACCATAGTAATTCATGCTGGAAACTCCAGTTGTGTCTGCTATAAGAGTAACACCGCTATTTTGTGTAACTCGATTTAAATCCTGATCCTTTGTTGCAAAGCGATATCCATTTACAATGTACCGTGAGTATGTTGTCACGGTTGTGTTTGGTTTTTTGGCTAGCCACCGGACTGTTTTCTCAACAAACACACCATTTGCAGTATCATTACGGACCTACACATTAAAAATTTAATGTTCAATATATTTGTGTTAAATGTGTATTCTTAGTAACATTAAGTTAAAGTTCATTTAACATTCTCCTCAAACCATGAGACAAAGACTCGATAATGCTCTGTTTCACAACAACCATCAAAGTTTGATTGCAGCTCTGACATGTGCTGCCTTTTTTCATTTATGAACAAACAATAAGATATTTGGGTTTCAAAAAAAGGGCAGAATTGAGAAAAATCAAATGAATTCTTACTGTATGTACGACAAAACTTCTGGCGTATTAAATAGAACGGTTCGATGGGCTTGTTCGAGCAGGGAACAGTCCACTATTTTAGTATCCCCACGTCCTAGGAGCTTTTCAATTGGGTCGATATTATCACAATCCATAGGTAATCCAATGGGCTGGTGATTTGCAAGATATTCAGCGCAAAACTCAAGCGCTTCTTCAGCTGCATAACATTATGCCATGCATCCCTCAGGATGGTAATGATTGCGGACAAACCCTTTTAAGAACTTCATGCTTCTCTCGAAAGGGTACATCCAACAGAGGTAAACCGGGCCACATAACCGCACTTGAGCAACGAGATGGACCGTTAAATGAACCATTATATCGAAAAAACAAGGCAAAAAGTATTGTTCAAGACAGCACATGGTGATGTGGTGATTAGACTCTAGTTCATCAAGTGAATCACTATCCAACACTTTCTCACACAATTTATTAAAGAACAAACACATATTAGTTATAGCATTTGTTACACTTTCAGCCACTGACATGTTACGAATGGCCAAGGGAAGTATCTGTTGCATCAAGGTGTGACAATCATGAGACTTGAGACCTTGAAGGTGACTCTCATCATCAGAAACAATGCTTTTCAGGTTAGAAGAATAACCATCCGGTACCTTTATTTCCAAAATGGTTTCACAGAATTTCTGTTTGTCTTTCTTGGTCAAGGTGTAGGGTGCCGGAGGTAAAGATTTTGAATTTTCTTCAGGAACTAAATGTTTCTTTATGTTCAAATGAATAAGGTCATTTCGAGCTTGGGGCCCATCCTTTGTCTTTTTCGACTGATCCAGAAGGGTTCCATAGATGCTCTCGCACACATTCTTTTCAATGTGCATCACATCTAGTAGGTGACGAACTAGCAAATGTTGCCAATACTCTAAGTTAAAAAAAATGGACTTGCGTTTGAACAATTTGTTCATACCTCCATCATTCTGATCACGCTTTCTCTTTCGCTTGCCATCCTTGCGCTTCCCACTCTTATAATTTATCCCTTCTACCAAGTCAAGAACATCTTCACCAGAGAGAGTAGCAGGGGCTCCAGCTCTCTCTACTTTATTATTGAAAGGTTTCTTAAGATCTCTAAACCTATGATTATCAGGTAAAAAGCGACGATGACTCATGTACACACATTTTTTGCTACATTTCAGCCAAGTAGATGACGTGGCTGGACCACAAATGGGGCAAGCATAATAGCCCTTAACAGTGCACCCAGACAGATTACCATAAGCAGGGAAGTCGCTTATAGTCCACATCAATATAGCCCTTAAGTTGAAGGTTTCCTTTCTAAAACTATCAAAAACTTCTACACCCACATGCCAAAGCGTGTTTAGGTCATCGATTAAGGGTTCTAAATAGACATCTATATCATTTCCAGGCAATTTAGGACCAGATATTAAGAGAGATAACATCATGAACTTTCGTTTCATGGTCAACCAAGGCGGGAGGTTATAAATAACTAACTGAACGGGCCAACAACTATAGGAAGAGCTGAGTGAACTGTGCAGATTTACTCCATCACTTGAAAGTGCCAACCGAAGATTCCTAGGATCTTCACTAAAATCTGGCCAGGTTTTATCTATGTGTTGCCAAGCTTGAGCATCGGCTGGATGACGCAATTTCCCATCTTTAATGCGATGGTTTGTGTGCCATGTCAAGTGCTCAGCGGTTTGGGGTGATTGGAACATACGCTTGAACCGAGGAATTGGAGGAAAATACCACAACACTTTTTCCCGAATTCTATTGGTAGCTGTTATGGCTCCATTTTTTTTTCTTTCCACCTAGACTCGCCACATGTGGGACAGCTTTCAAGGTCACTATGTTGCTTATGAAAAAGGATGCAGTCATTACGACAAGCATGTATTTTTTGATAATCCAATCCTAAGACCTTCATTATTTTCTTAGCTTCATTCATTGTCTTAGGAATATTGTTGTCAGCCGGTAATATGTTTGAAAGAGCTTCTAATAAAGCCGTGAATCCTTGATCAGACCACCCATGTTTCCCTTTAATATTGTACAACAACATTAACCCCGATAGCCTAGTGTAGTTTGACCCTTGGTACAATGGCTTTTCTGCATCTTCAACTACTTCCTTAAAACCTTTTGGATTACCCTCTAGTTGTTCATAAATATCACCTAACATCTCATCAACTTCATTTTGATCATGAAATGTTGACTGTGATGGAACAAGTTAGGATGTTTTTCAGTCTTTCCATGCCTACTCCAAATAAGGTAAGTTTTCAAGAAACCTACTTTTAACAAATGCACTTTAATTT